AAAAGGACCAGGCAGGAGGTGATGGGAAAGACCTCTGCCAGGGTCCCTGGAGAGCTGAAAAGAGGGGCTGTGGCTCAGTGGCAGAGCCTCTGCTTGGCATGCAGAAGGTCCCAGGTTCAGTCCCCAGCATCTCCAGTTAAAAAGGACCAGGCAGGAGGTGATGGGAAAGACCTCTGCCAGGGTCCCTGGAGAGCTGAAAAGAGGGGCTGTGGCTCAGTGGCAGAGCCTCTGCTTGGCATGCAGAAGGTCCCAGGTTCAGTCCCCAGCATCTCTATTTAAAAAGGAACAGATGGTGGGTGCTGGGAAAGACCTCTGGCCTAAGACCCTGGAGAACCTCTGCCGGTCTGAGTAGACAATACTGACCTTGATGGATAAAGGGTCTGATTCACTGTGTAATAATAAGGCTACATGGGGAAATGTGGTAGGAACAGCTTCTCCAGTCGTTACGGGAGACCTGTTTGCAGCAGTCCCAGGAAAACGATATGCAAGGTCCGGGTTTGCTAACAAAGAGTTTTTAATCAATCATCAGGCTTACAGAAATAGCAGGCTAACTTCAGTCCACTGGACCTTGAACCCACAGCAAAGCCAGCCAAACCGCGAGACGAGATACATAGCTAAAACTAAACATCTTGTACCTTAATTGCTGGCTACAGTATTGCTGCCTTCCATGTCATATTTAAAGGCAGTAGCCAGGTTTTCCAAGCTTGGTTCTGGCACTGCAAGTGATGGCGGAGGCCATTTCAAGGGGTTGTCATCTGCGTCTCTCTCTCTCTCAGCCTCCTCTCTTTTAACCATCTACCCTTCTTTTCCATAGGACTGGAAGAAAGAAGATGGGGCTTCTCTCTGGTTTTGGCCTGGCCTTCCTTGGCTTCCTGGTTGTTGGTCCTTTCCCAAGAGGTGAGTTTCTGCAGAGGACCCGCTTAACTTGCTCTGGACCTGTTTGCACATAACATTCTGTCACAATTCCCAGATATCTGAACACATGTATATTGCAGCATCCTTCCTTCCATTTCAGGGACAGTCCCATAAGCAGGTTTCTGTCATCTCTCACTCACAGGGGCGTTCCAGAAAACCTCTCTGATATAGGGTTCGTTTCCCATAGGCGCAGGGATCTAAAACGGGAACAGCCTCAAAAGGCGCCCTCTAGACCAGGGCCCCCGAATACTTTTGAGCCTGCTTGTGCCTTTGGAATCCTAACACAGTGTGGTAGAGCCAGACACAGCGAGAAAGCTCGAGGGCAAGGGAGAAGAGGAGTCATTTTTAAAAGGACACCAAGAAAGACGGCTGAGAGAGAATAAAACAAATGCCGTAGTGGCAGCTGCCACTGGGAAACGTTATTTTAATCTACAGAGCCAACCAGAACCCACCTTCTAAAAACACTGGGTGGGTGTCACGAAAAGCGTCAGTGGGCGTAATCGTGCCCGCGGGCACCACATTGGGGAGCCCTGCTCTAGACCCAAACACTGAAATGATTCTCTGGTTCTGGAAACAGAGACTCTTTGCCGACCTCCAAGCACCCAAGGTCCCGTCTCCCGCCACCTCTCCTCACACCCAGTCCTTCTCTCCGGAGTCACAGTCATTTAACACATGACCCCCCCTCCTTCTCCCCCCACTGTTCCTTCCATCTCCCCCCCCCGAACAGGTGTGGGAGCCTTTTCGTGCCCGACGGGATGGATGTTCTACCAAGGCAGCTGCTACGGATTCTTCCAAGACAAAATGACCTGGGCGGAGGCAGAGGTAAGCGGCCCTTCCTGGCCACTCTCTACTAAGGAAGTGAAGGCAGCCTCCTGCCATCCGGATGCCTCTGGGGATTTCGTGAACAGGCCAGGGAGGCCCTGTTTGCTGCCCTACCTGACGACTGGCATTCAGGAGAAGTCTGAATGGTGACCAGGGAGGGTTTTCGAGGCAAGAGGCATTCGGAGGTGCTCTGCCGTTGCCTGCCCCTGCCTAGCGACCCAGGACTCCCTTGGTGGCCTCCCATCCAAGTGCAAAGCAGGGCCAAAACTACTTCGCTTCTGAGATCTGGTGAGATCGGGATAGCCTGGGCAATCCTGGTCAAGGCTCAGGCTCTTTATTCCCAAGACGGTGAGGACTGTTCTACATGAGTTATTATCCCTGTCCTCTTATAGCCAGGTTGATAGAATTGGAGGGGAACCAATCTGGAACAGAAGGTGACTAATAAAAGGCAGGGTAGGAGCTGCGGTGGCTCAAGTGGTTAAGACGCTGAACTGCAGGCTGTGGAAGGTCGGTAGTTCAGCAGTTCGAGACCCGAGTGTGCCGCATGACGGAGTGAGCTCCCGTCTCCAGTTCCAGCTCCTGCCAACCTAGCAGTCGAAAGCAAGACATTGCAAGTAGATAAATAGGTACCACTTCAGTGGGAAGGTCACAGCGTTCCGTGCACCTTGGTCTTTAGTCATGCCGGCCACATGACCACGGAAACGTCTTCGGACAGCGCTGGCTCTTCGGCTTGGAAACGGAGATGAGCACCACAACCCTAGAGTTGGACTCGACTGGCTTTCGAGCAAGGGCGACCTTTACCTTTAGGCGTGTCCAGTTGAAACAGAAATCTGGTGTGGCACCTTAAAGACTAACAACATTTATTCCAGCACGTTTTCATGAGTAAAAACTGACCTCTTCAGATCCTACAAAGTCCCTGGCAGCCTTTAAGCAGCGGCTGGACAAACCCTGGTCAGGGACACTCTAGGCTGATCCTGCATCGAGCAGGGGGGCTGGACTAGATGACCTCTACGGTCCCCTTCCAGCTCTGTGTGATTCTTGGATTCTATGAACATTTATTGCAGCACATTTTCATGAGTAAGAACTCACCTCTTCAGATGCTACAAAGGAGGTCATATTCTACCTTTTAATCCAAAAAGGGAGGGGGTGAAGGGAAGCGTTGGGGGCAGAGAGAGGCTTGGTGTGAACCCCATCATAAACTCTTCAGGTCTGAATCCAGATTAGGTTGCCGCACGTAATGGATGAAGAAGGGGCCAGAAGGTTCAGCCTCCTCCTCTCAGGCAATGCAGATAAGCAAACACGGTAATAAAGCAGGTCCTGCTGAGGCATTAGAAATTGCAAGGGGGTGGGGACCTGCAAGAAACTTGTGGGGAGTTCCCCGCTTTGCCTCCTGTGCTCTCCCCTCTTCTCAGACAGCTTCCCCATCTTTCTCACCCCTCCCCTTCTCTGTCAATCTCTGAGAAAGAATGAGAGGTATTTTTTAGTTTCTCGATGAATTCTTATTTAGCACTTTCACGTTGTATTCTCCCTTTAAAGTATTTTTTTCTTTATTTTTGTAAAACAATGACTTTCGGATCTGCAATTGCATGGCCAGGAAGATTAAAAATGTTCTCCACCTGGTTTTTGAATGTTGCAAGTTATTTAATCAGTTTTCTGTCATTCTTCTAAATTATAATACTGTTGACCTTGCAGCCCTGGCTGGCCACAGAATGCCCCCTCCCACTCCCCTTCCCACCCCCTGAGGGTAAAAAAGGCCTCTCCTGTGTCCCTCCCCCAGATTGACTGCCAGAGCCATGACCGCAATGGCCACCTCGCTTCCATTGGGAGCCGAGCGGAGGGAGTCGTGTTGGCCAAACACATCCAGGCCTATCAACAAGAGCTCTTCACCATCTGGATTGGACTGCATGACCCCCAGAGGGTGAGTATCTGCCAGGCTCCTCTGTGTTCACTCACTAAATTTCAAGAAATATTTTTCTGCAACAGGATTGAGAGCAATGTTCCTCACAGAAGGCTTTGAAATCAAAATGAATTAATCAATGCAAATGAGGTATCATGGATATAAACTGCGGCAAATGAACGAATGGATATAATCTACAGCAAAAGGGTTTTTGTCTAAATCTCTGGAGGTAAAGGTAAAGCGTGTTCGACACAGGAACAATCGCCCTCATTGCAATCCCGACCTTTAAAAATAGAAATATCATCCTGGACCTCAAAATTTACCCATTGCTTCCCAAAGGAATAATCTCCTCTCCTCTTCTTCCACAGCACAGAAGGGAAGCAGGGCTACCCACTGTTTCCTGAGTCCCCACTCCTCCACTTGCACCTGCTGGATGACGTTGGGCACGTCATAGTTCTGGCACAGCTGTTCTTGAAAAAGAGCCATTTCTGTCAAGAGCTCTCTCAGCCCCACCTACCTCCCAGGGTGTCTGTTGTGGGGAGGGGAAGGGAAAGGAGTTTGTAAGCCACTCTGAGACCCTGGAGAGCTGGGTGGAAAAGACTTGTGTTTGGTGTAGATGGTTAGGAGCGTGGACTCCAAACTGGGAGAACCGGGTTTGAACAGCTCCGAGAGATCTTGTGACTGACCCAGTCACACCAGCAGTTGCATGGGCCCTAGGCGGGAGCACGTCCAACCTGTGCTGAAAGCGCTGCACTGGCTGTCAATAGCGTACTGGATTTGCTTCAAAGTGCTGGTTCTTACCCTATATGGGCGGGGTCCAACATACCTAAGGGACCGTCTTTCCCCATATGTTCCCCAATAGGCACTATGGTTGGGGACACATCTGCTCATGACCCCAGGCCCCAAGGAGGCCAGGTTTGCTGCAACCAGGGCCAGGACCTTTTCGGTGGCGGCTCCTACCTGGTGGAATGAGCTCCCGGAGGAGATCCGGGCCCTGCAGGACCTTGCATAGTTCCGCAGGGCCTGCAAGATGGAGCTCTTCCGCCAGGCTTTTGAGTAGGAGCCGCCACTACCTTTACCATCATTACCAACTGGCCCGGTGAGGAGTGAACGACAGCGCCGTGTGGAGCTGACGCCACTGAACTGGGAGTACCATCTTCAAGACGCCATCTTTTTTTATTGAAGACTGATTTGAAACCCCTGGAGCACTTTGTAATATTGTACATGACTGCAGAGGTCATTTCAGGGGGGATCGCGGGGGATTGCAGTTCCCCTGGGTGAGGTACGGGGGCGGGGCACATGACAAAGCCCCGCCCCCTGCTTCCGGCCGCCCCGCTCCCGGCCCTCATTCAGCCAGGAGGAGGCAGGAGAAGAGGGAGGGTAAGTTGCTTCCTCCCTGCCTCTCCCCACCCCTGCCTGCCTGGGGCCAGGGAGGGCCTTCGCGGGGCTTCCTTGCACTCCCGCCGGCCTTGCAGGTCCACCTGCTAATGAGTTATGCTAATGAGTTCCCCTAGCTCTTTTTCTGCAAAACGACCCCTGCATGACTGTATTTATGATGTTTTTAACCCGTTTTATGTATTGGCATGTGCCCTATTTGTGAGCCGCCCTGAGCCCGCTTGCGGGGGGACGGGCTAGAAATCAAAATAATGAACAAATAAATGAATGTGGAGAAGGGGGGAAATCAAACCTGGTTCTCCCAGATTGGAGTCCGCGCTCCTGACCACGACACCAAACATGAGGCTCTTCCACCCTTTTTTCTCTCATTGCTGCTTGGACACAACGTGGTGGGCAACGGCACCTGTGGGTAGGGGATTCCCCGCCCCCCAGGGCCTTGGCAGACCTACTTGGCAGACCTACTTTTCACCCAGGCTTTCAAATAGGGTTGCCAACTACGTGTTGGGAAATACCTGGAAATTTGGGGGGTGCAGCCTGCGGACGGTGGGGTTTGGGGAGCCAACTCACAGATTTTTAGCCTGCAGCTCATACATTTTTGTCTGAGCTCAGGAAGGAGGGCTCCAGAGCAAACTAATTGATGCAGCAGCCAAATTGCTGGCTCACAGCTTTAATGCCAGTAGCTCACAAAGTAGGATTTTTGCTCACAAGACTCCACAGCTTAGAGGGAGCACTGCCACTGACTGAAAATAAACAAGTATATAATCATCATATAAGCATACAGCAAGTATAATGTAAATCAATTGGCCAAGGTACAGTAATGAAACATAGTCTTTACTCCAGCATAGAAGCAATATCAGAGTCCAAATCAAATTTTCTGAGTCATAAAAAGCCGACGCGTAATCCGGATGCCTGATGTCGCGTTTCGAATAATTCTTATTCAAGCATGGCTGTAATAGAACTGAATGCAAATTGAAAACATATACAAGTAAGAATGCATACAAGATATAAATATTAGATAAATTTTGTAGCTGCAAGGAAACCTCACCCCAATCTCAAAAGCTGGCAGAAAATTTGATGACATGTACTTCAATTTGGACTTTGATATTGCTTCTATGCTGGAGTAAGACACATGGAAAGTCTATAGATTATGTTTCATTACTGTACCTTGGCCAATTGATTTACATTATACTTGCTGTATGCTTATATGATGGAGCTGCGGTGGCTCAAGTGGTTAAGACGCTGAACTGCAGGCTGTGGAAGGTCAGTAGTTCAGCAGTTCAAGACCCAGGTGCCGCAAGATGGGGTGAGCTCCCGTCTCTAGTTCCAGCTCCTGCCAACCTAGCAGTTCGAAAGCAAGAAATTGCAAGTAGATAAATAGGTACCACTTCGGTGGGAAGGTCACAGCGCTCCGTGCACCTTGGTGTTTAGTCATGCCGGCCACATGACCACGGAAACGTCTTCGGACAGCGCTGGCTCTTCGGCCTTGAAACGGAGATGAGCACCGCAACCCTAGAGTCGGATTCGACTGGCTTTCGTGCAAGGGAACCTTTACCTTTACCTATGCTTATATGATGATTATATACTTGTTTATTTTCAGTCAGTGGTGGTTCTTTTTGTGCTTCTTGTATTGTACACTGGCTTCCCCCCCCCCTTTTTTTTGATGCTTCCGAAGCAGCCATTTGCTCCCAGGGGAGCTGATTTCTGTCCCTGGAGATCTCCAGCCACCACCTGGAGACGGGGAGACCTACTTTTAAAGTTGTTCGATTTTGATCTCGGGTGGTTTCATTGATATCATTTGAGCAGCAGCTCATCATTGGTTTCCTACCGTTTTTTATGCCCTGGTGTGGTTTTTCTGCTGTTGATTTTAAGACTATGTTGGACAAGTCTCTGGAAAGGCAGCAGGGACATCTCCTAAATCAATGTACCTTTCGTTGCCTTGGTCCCCCCCCCCTAACCAAAACGTCTTTCTTCTCAACACAGAAGAGACGCTGGAGATGGTCTGATAGATCTCTGGTAAACTTCAAGGCTTGGGGGCCTGGTTCGCCTGACAACTATTTAAATAATGAATACTGCGTAGAGCTCCGGACTCAGGAAGGTGAGCCCTCTGATCATGATGTGAGGTATGCTGGGTTACCCAGAGAGGAGGATATGCTCACAGAAGAAGAGAACAATACACAATTGCATCATATGCTGTATTGCTTTGGGAAGGGGCCGTGGCTCAGTGGGAAATCCTCTGCTTGGCATGCAGAAGGTCCCAGGTTCAATCCCCGGCATCTCCAGTTAAAAAGGACCAGGCAGGAGGTGATGGGAAAGACCTCCGCTTGAGACCCTGGAGAGCTGTGAAGAGAGGCCGTGCCTCAGTGGCAGAGCCTCTGCTTGGCATGCAGAAGGTCCCAGGTTCAATCCCCGGCATCTCCAGTTAAAAAGGACCAGGC